GGTATGAGCTAAACTATAAACCATCAACTATGAGAGCATAACTAAAATAAACTGTTCAAAAAGATAAAGCAACTATTATTCAATCCCACATAACTAAAATCCCAAAAGAAACATAATCCACCAGTTAAGTTTACATCAAAAAAACCTTAAAGTAAACCAAATGTCCATCTAACTAAAATCATTTCAATAACATTCAACCACTGTAAATCAATTGAACTAAATTAAGTAAGCAAAAATCCTAAGCCTTGGAAGTTGGATTCACATCTTCATCTACCTCACACTCCATATCCACCTGTTCACCTATAGTGGTGTCCTCTTTTATACCAAAACCAGAAAAATATACATAAGGGATAAGCAAACAAGCCCANGTGTTGTCCATGGTTAGGTTATCCTTGAGGTGGAAGGGATGGGCACAATTGTTCCTAAAGTACCCCATGCCTCTAGAAGTATAACATTGTCAATGAACCGCACCTATACTCTCCTACAAGCCCTAGTTCCACAAATTGGTAGATTCCTCTATCAAGTAGCCTAATTCGAGCAATGATATGGAGCCACTCTATGCATTCCTCCAATGTTATTGCTAGTTCTAATCAGGCCTTATCATGCTAGATTTTGTCAATGCTACATCTTTTATGTTTCTCTCCACACTAGGGCAACGAGATTCTCTTTAATAGCAGGCCTTAGACCCTGCTCGAAATGTTTGGCCCTCTTAGCTCCTATGGACACGAACTCTGCGACATAATGAGATTCCTCATCAAATTTGTTTTCATACTTAGCTACAATCATGTTATTCTGCAGTACAGTCATTTAATCCTTCACCGACTCTGGAAAATACTTTTCTTGGAATACTTGATCAAAGGCATCCCACTTCATGGCATCTATGTTTTGCATTCTCTTTATTGAATCCCACTAGATATCGGCCTCTCCTTGTAGCAATTAAGTAGTCAAGCCAACCCATAGATTTTTAGCAATCCCTATACTATCACACATTTTCTCGATCCTTCTAATCCACTTGTCTGCATCCATCGGGTTAGAAATCCCTTAAAAGATAGGTGGGTATTGCCAAAGAAATTCCCTCAATNGTGTTCTACTAGTGTTGTCCATGGTTAGGTTATCCTTGAGGTGGAAGGGATGGGCACAATTGTTCCTAAAGTACCCCATGCCTCTAGAAGTATAACATTGTCAATGAACCGCACCTATACTCTCCTACAAGCCCTAGTTCCACAAATTGGTAGATTCCTCTATCAAGTAGCCTAATTCGAGCAATGATATGGAGCCACTCTATGCATTCCTCCAATGTTATTGCTAGTTCTAATCAGGCCTTATCATGCTAGATTTTGTCAATGCTACATCTTTTCTGTTTCTCTCCACACTAGGGCAACGAGATTCTCTTTAATAGCAGGCCTTAGACCCTGCTCGAAATGTTTGGCCCTCTTAGCTCCTATGGACACGAACTCTGCGACATAATGAGATTCCTCATCAAATTTGTTTTCATACTTAGCTACAATCATGTTATTCTGCAGTACAGTCATTTAATCCTTCACCGACTCTGGAAAATACTTTTCTTGGAATACTTGATCAAAGGCATCCCACTTCATGGCATCTATGTTTTGCATTCTCTTTATTAAATCCCACTAGATATCGGCCTCTCCTTGTAGCAATTAAGTAGTCAAGCCAACCCATAGATTTTTAGCAATCCCTATACTATCACACATTTTCTCGATCCTTCTAATCCACTTGTCTGCATCCATCGGGTTAGAAATCCCTTAAAAGATAGGTGGGTATTGCCAAAGAAATTCCCTCAATGATGTCATCCTTTAGTTTTCGTTGTTATTTGGCTGTCTAATTGTGGTGTTGTACAGAGTGGTTAGCTACCGTAAACATTGGTAGATGTTGCTCATGGCATCTTGAGGGGGGTGGTGGTTGGTTTCGAGCTACCTGAGCCAGTCATCCACGTGTTCTCCTACTGTACATTCTGCACATCAAAGTATAGCTTCGTTTCCTTTATAGAACTATAAACACCAACTCATGCTTAACTCATGAACACATAACCCCAAAAGATTCAAGCTCAAGTTTTTTCCAACCTATACCTAACCAATGGGTAATCCAAACCTATAGCTCTCATGTAAAATCTAATTTCTATGCTCTGATACCAACTTTTTCACATCCCAATTTCCACAATAGGTATGAGCTAAACTATAAACCATCAACTATGAGAGCATAACTAAAATAAACTGTTCAAAAAGTTAAAGCAACTATTATTCAATCCCACATAACTAAAATCCCAAAAGAAACATAATCCACCAGTTAAGTTTACATCAAAAAAACCTTAAAGTAAACCAAATGTCCATCTAACTAAAATCATTTCAATAACATTCAACCACTGTAAATCAATTGAACTAAATTAAGTAAGCAAAAATCCTAAGCCTTGGAAGTTGGATTCACATCTTCATCTACCTCACACTCCATATCCACCTGTTCACCTATAGTGGTGTCCTCTTTTATACCAAAACCAGAAAAATATACATAAGGGATAAGCAAACAAGCCCAATAAAGAAAGCCTTCTCACACCCAAATAAGATTTAGGAATGATGAAATCAGATAAATCTCAATTTGAAAAATAGCATACATGAATTTAAAGTAAAACAGTGACATTTAATAAAGATATCAAGTTTATAATATACAAACAGTAAAACCATAGCCAGAGTGAAATTATTTAGAAACAACAATTCATAACAATAGTATTTCATGTGCGTAGGTTGACTAACATTAATATACACAAGAACCTATATGGTTCACCTCACCATAAACACAACCATCCAATGAATTCCTACAAGGCCACAACATTTTAGAAATAGCACATATTGACATATCAACATTTGTGAATTCTTCCTATGAATAGTATATTAATCATCAGTCTCGAACATACGTGAACAGATAGTAGTTTGACACATTGTAAGGAACCAACCCTAATAAAAGTGATAGGAAACCATCAAACCCCTCAAGTTAAAAAAATATCTAACACCATGCAATATAAATTCGAGTGTAATGCACATTTATTATACCCACCCGTACAAGAGATAATTACATACTTTTCATAAAATTAACATATATTCCACAATTATCGAAATAGAAAAAATTCAAGAAAACCTACAAAAGATTGCCAAGAAAATATATTTTGTTTGACCTTAATCAAGAACTAAGGTTTTAAAATCAAGAACATGAGATTCCTGATATAAATCATATGTTTAATCATAAAAACGATATATGAAATTGATTGGAAATCTAAATTATTGATTATCTACAAATAATTATGAAAAAGAATGAAAAGATACATAGTATAAACCTAACCCATCAATAAATGAGTTTGAGAAAAAATCTCTACCTTGATCCACGAATAGATGATCCTAACGCATTTTGATACGATTCCTACGCATTAATCCGTCAAGATCTCTCCCTTTTTCTTCTCCCAGCTCCTCTTGGCTTCCTAGTGTTGAACCATGGCTAAAATAGCCTAAAATCCTTAAGGTATTTATAAGATGAAAAGCGGAGAGAAATGCTAAAAACTGATCAGGCTAACCTTGTAGGCACTTGCGAATGGTAATATTGCGTCCCGCCAATCAAAACTTACTGTCCGAACCTTAATAGGTGTGTCCGGACATGGGTTGCTTCTACTCCAAACTTTAGACTTGATTTCAAACTCTATTTTGACGTAGTTAGAAGTCGATTAACGAACTTTTCATGATATACACTTTTGTAACTCTTGCAGTTTACTTTTTAATGTCGTAAGAATTAACTCANAAACTTTAGACTTGATTTCAAACTCTATTTTGACGTAGTTAGAAGTCGATTAACGAAATTTTCATGATATACACTTTTGTAACTCTTGCAGTTTACTTTTTAATGTCGTAAGAATTAACTCGATCGAACATCGGGTAAAAACGTTATGACCAAAATTGTGTGAAATTCCTTCCTACCCTAATTCTGCTAAAAATGAGTGTAAGACCTAGAACACCCCCAAGCATCAATACACCTTATATCACCTATTCCAAGGTTTCTTGACCTCTCGAATTCATTTTTGATGTTATTTTGACCGAATAACCTTTAGAATTTGACTTAGCCACTTTCTCCTAAGAGTGCTTACCCGAAAAATATCAAGTCACTCGAAAGTCCCAATTACACCTACGAAAATCAATTCTTTTGCATGAATTTTGTAACAATACGTTAGCAATCCCAACATCATACATGATAACCTATTATGAATTAATACACACACAAAGGGTCTTACAAAAAGGGAAGGTGTTTTAACTTTTGTTATGAACATTAAAGTGTCAAACTTGATGCAATTAATTTGTATTTAATTGGCTAGTTTAATATGTAGGAGTAATGTCTTATTTCAATTTTCTTATGAGATGAAAACTTCGATATTAGATTTGTTTATAAATATTGTCATTGTGGTCGAAAAACTATTGTTAAAATAGTCGAATCGAAGAAGGCCAGCAAAGGAAAACTGTATCGCAATTGTAAAAAGGGAGAATGCAAATTTTTGCATGGTGTAATCCCATTTCTGGTGTACTAGTGATCCCTCACCATGAGGGATATGGAATGAGGCATCTCAAAATGGAGACCAGTGTTGAACATAATGTTGTTAATTCATAACAAATAATGGTAGATGACAATCAAGAATATCTGAAAAATGTTAGTTGTGGTTATCTTAGTATTGCAACTCTTAGTTATTATATATGTCTCATTATGTAATTGTTGTTTTGTGGTAGTGTTGACACTTGGTGATATAGAACACTAATCATTTTTCATCTATATAAATAATGATAAGTCATTACAGTTTGAACATCAATGTGCTTCAAAAAATATACCATATTCAATGTGCATAGAAGAAAAAAAAATTACTGGGTTAAACCAAGTGTATTACCCAATAAATTCAGAACACGTGTCTACACCATAATAGGACAAGTGATATGAGTAATTAGCTTTCATGGAAGTGGGGCCCCAAAAGGTCCAGTTGGACTGGTATGGATAACAATGCAAGGCGTGATGCCCCGGAGCACAACACCGCAACAGAGCAAAACACATCCCCATCGCATTGGAAGTGACAAAATGGATTCTTCACCATCACATTGGAAGTGGAACCAAGGGTGGATAAAATTGGAATCACAGAAGTCTGGGGGCAACCCCGGCGAGACTCGCCTCCCCTACTGCGAAATGGTATCCTCACCCTACATAGGCACTGCTGCTCGATTGGAAGGGTCCTCACCTTAGGACAAGGCAGTATGACCCTCGTCAATGGAGAACTAAGCAACAGGGGCAGACGATCATGATTGTCAATCTTGGCCTGTGGAAGATCTCAAAGGTCTAGTCTGCTCAACCAGGCCTCTTAGTGTATGACTCACTGCCCACTGGGATGTGCTTGGCTGGAATCCGGAGGAACTCATAAGGTAATTAAGGATATTGGTCTAGATCAACAAATGGGATAATGAGACATGTGGATTGGTGGCTAAAGGACCGAAACTATTTGGGTTTCTTCTATCGAGCACCCCAGACCGTGTCTAGACTACATTTGGGGAAATATCACATCTGCCTAAGTTAATATTGGGACATGTGGCTCATGGTTAGTGGCTATTGGTATCATCGAGGTCGAGATAGTTGGGTTTTGGCATGAGTGTTAGGGGGTTATAGCAGGCAGCCCTAGGGGTAGCCCGATCTACTCGGGCACTGTGTTATAAATACCCGTATTACTTGCACACTACAAAGGATGAGATTTTTTTGGCTGGCAAGAACATTTCACCTACCCTCTGCCCAATTAGTCGTCCCTTCATTAATAGGTTGTTCGAGTTCCTTTCATCTCATCCACTTACTACTTTTCCCCTTCGATTACTTTGGACATATACATGTGTGTCAATCTCTTTTAACTCCCCAACTACACTAAGTATTGCAAAATATTGAAACTAGGATAAAAAAACATAAAACAATTGTTTTTCAACATATCAAATCAATGTGCTTGTTGTGTTTCTCCCCTACCCCCTATTTTGCCTTCTTCTTTATTTACTCATTAGCCCTGTAGTTCTGAGGTCCCCTAGAATGCCTCATAGTGTGCTCTTATTTTACCCCTTTTCCTCATACCATGTCCTCTTACTATACCCCTTTTCCTCCTACCATGTCCTCTCCCTTGAAGATCCCCTTGAACGGAGCTACAAATGGTACCTACAAAAGTTGGGATATCATTAAGAAAGGATTTAATTTTCTAAGGATAACACTACAAAACCACATGGATAACTATGTACCTATTCAGGTCATGTCTAGTCCACCACCATTGCCATTTCCAATGATGCTACTTACATATGCAAACTAGCAAATCAATCATAACATTTTCAAACCAGAAAAATTAAGTTAAATGTTTGTTGTGGATTCATGCCTATGATGCATTACTAGCTGAAGTAACAGTGCTTGCTTGAGATTTTTTCCCTATTACGTTCATCATTTCTATTTCCTCCACCACCTCCCCTGACAAGAGCTCTTTGACATGCCTTTTTATTATGTCAAATTTCTTGCATATTGTACACTTTACACTTAAACATCTTCTAGCAACATTATTCTTGCTGCAAGCTCAGCAACCTCCCTCCTCCTATTTTTTTTTAAGTCTACTTGGGAGGCTCCTCAAAGGTGGAGGGGCTAGAGGATCACCAATAGCTAGTGCCCATTTCCTCTTGTCTAGAAAGGGGTGTATCATCATCTCATGAGATTTTAAAAAATTATATCTCCTTAAGTATTCATGACAATATTCCTCGATGTTCAATCTCTTATATGCAATTGTCCACGCGGCATGCTTTCATGGTAATCCTGAAATACCCCAAGCCATGCAATTACATGCCCCTTTTGTCAAGTATCACTATTTATCTTACCCCAATGTCCATTATCTCATAATTTATCCTAGCTACATACACCATAATGCCCTAATTTACAATGCCCAGATTTTCATTATTCAGATTCTCATTGTCAAGACTGTCACTGCCTATATTCTCCCTGCCCAAATTCTTATTCCCCTAATTCATGTTGTCTAGATTCCCCCGGCACTGATTGTCACTTCCCTGATTACCAACATTATTAGGGAGGTCAACTTCAAACACTAACCTTGATTCTGTTTGTGATATAGTACCTCATTGGGTTTCAAGACCAACCAATTCTGATGTAATGTCCCTAGTAATATCTGTTACAATTTCTTCACTTCCTTCTGCAACTACACGTGCACTTATCTATTTTATATTCCTTTACATATCAAACTTCTCCATCAAATCGTTGTCATCATCCACCAACCTTCTATTATTTGAACTAGGTACCTCACAATATAGTTTGAAAGCTAGACAAACAGTATTAGGTATATTTGACAACATAAACACATCCAATAATAAGTGCACATGCCAATACCTATTTGGATCAACTCTTCGTACTAGGAATTGTTGGTCAGCATAATGTGTGATCAAGTCATAGTAATTCACAACCATTTCTATCCACTAACACAAATTAAAAAAAATATTTGTCAAAATCATATTTTAAAAATATTAGCTAATGTATAGACAAACTTTCACACACAAAATAACCCTAATCCTAATACCCAAATTAGTTTGAAACCCTAATTGAAAATCTAAGGCCAAAAGGAACACTATTTGAAAAAAAAAAGGACAAGAAAAACCTTAATTAAAAACCTAAGGTGAAAGGGGAACCCCTCTTGAAAATCTAAGGCAAAAGGAAATCCTAATTGAAAATCCAAGGCCAAATGAAAGCCTAATTGACTAACTAAGGCCAACAAAAGCCCTAAGTGAAAATTTGAGGCCAAAAAAGAACATTATTTTTAAAAATAAGGCCAATAAAAACCCTAATTGAAAACCTAAGGTGAAAGGGAACCCTAATTGAAAATCCAAGGAAAGGCTAAATGAAACCCTATTTAAAAAAACTAAGGCCAATAGAAACTGAATATTATTTGAAAAACTAAGTCCAACAGAAACCCTAATCAAAAACTTAAGGTGAAAGGGGAACCCTACTTGAAATCTAAGTCAAGACGAAACACTAACTAAAAACCTAAGGCTAAGCAATGCACATTCTATAACTCAAGAATAGAAAGAATTTCATACCTAGTGGGTCTTCAACTCGCAATGCTTCTTCAATGTCTTTGATACCAGATATTCTATCTTCAATGCACAGACCTTCTTCTATTACTTTGAAATATTCGCACCCACATTTTTGTCTCCACCCTCCCTCATCTTCTCACACCCCCTTCTCCCTTTTCCACTCCATTTTCCTCTTTGTGAGAGACTCTAAGTGTCGATGAGAATGAGAATGGGAATGATCAACAAACTAGGGTTGGGTCAAGTTTATTACATATGTTTGGTTAACTAACTTAACTGTAGTTAATTTAGGTTCAAAAAAAAAATACCATATTTAATTCATATTGAATTCTTGAGAATATTTTTGTAAAACAACATTATCCGTTGATGCCCTAAGTAGACAATCTCTGACATTTGATTTGACCACTGAACTAGGTTTACAGGGAATAGGGGGAGGCGCATTCACATAAAAAAAAGAAGAAAAAAACGAAAGCCAGTACAAAAATTTAGATTTATTTGAGATAAAATACATTAAAGAAACTTATTTAGCCCTAGGTACATTTTTGTGGAAAAAGACCAAAAGGACATTCAACACAATCTTCTAATTCCAAAGTGGGATTTGAATTTTAAAATCAACATCCATTGTTCCACTATAACCAAAAATTCAAGATTTACTTCCCATTGAAGAAGAACAAACCCATAATCATTCCAAAACCAACAAAATCGTGGGTTTTAGAGGAGAAAATTGAGCAAAATCGCTAGCGATTTGGATTGACTATAGGCTTTATCACCAATAAACACCAACAATTTTGGGTTCTGGTATTATAGTCGTCACCGAACTATTATTCTTTTCATCTTTATCTCTACTAGCTTCATCTCTATTGGGTTTTATCTCCTACGATTGATGAAAGAATTCCCTTTTTTTTTTTAAATTTTCGCTTGATAAAAACCAAAATCATAACTTAAAATCCCTAATTTGTAATAATATTACAAAATCGTTGTCGACGATGAAACGACTTGTATTTAAAAAGCCTAATTTGTAACAATTGACGGTGAAATTATTTTGTATATGTCATTGTTGTAGCTTTTTGATGTCACTAGATGGTGCAACTATCACTTGTAATAGTTTGGCTTAATACTATTTTATATGTGCAGGCCGTTGATTTGTCTATTTGGTGTCCCTGTCTGATGTACTTCTTTGGTATATTTTTTTGGTTTACCCATTTTGGTATATATAATTATTGTAACAATGTGTGTGATACTGAATAATGTAACTCTTTGGTTTGTTTAAACAATTGAATGATGCGTTGACTATGGTGTCGTCATTTCGTGTCCATGTTAGGTCTATCCGTATGTATGTGCAACTCTATTGTGTATCATAGTGTAAGAGTAAATGATTGGTGTAATGTTGATATCTGATTATATCGAAATAACTATTTGGTGTAATGTTGATGTCCCGTTGTATCAAAGTTTTCATATTTTTAAAAGAAAAAAAAATTATCAATCATTTATGATTTCTTTGGTGTATTTATTTTGGAGTATCAATACAACGACGTTTAAGAATACTAACTTCGGCTTGAGAGAGAGTAATTGTGTCTTGAATATATGGTGGAGTGAGAAAATAAGGGGAGAGATAGTGAGAGAAAGAGTTAGAAAATAAGGGAGAGAGAGTGCGAGTGAANTGAGAAAATAAGGGGAGAGATAGTGAGAGAAAGAGTTAGAAAATAAGGGAGAGAGAGAGTGCGAGTGAGAGAATATGAATAAATGTTAAAATGAATGATAAAATCTAATCAAATCTTTACATATTTGATTAGAAAATAACTGTCAGTCAATTATTCATTATTTAAGGAAGGGTAAATAAGTAGTATAAATAAAAGGTAAACTGAATTGTGTATCCAATAATAAGAAATTTAAGTAAAAATGTATTTAATAGAACAAAAAAACTTATCAATATACTTTCTCTCCAATAAGTATTAAAAAATATATCCACACATAAAAACCAAAAAATAAAAGCATTTAATGCTTTTTACATTGGCCCTAATTAGAGAGGTGTGGATAGGGGTCTCTATGGGCCACACAAGGCTTGACCCGAGTAATTTATTTTAGGTTGGGCTTGGGTAGGGTAAGCCTAAGCTCATACTCGGATGAGTTTTCGGACTGGCGGAGTCGGGCTTGGGATAAGAGTAGGCTATCCGTAGCCCAACTCGCCACTCATTGGGCGGGCGGGCTTGCTGGCTTGGGCCTATGGGCCTGTTGGGAGAGCCTACTAGATAAACTTTTTATATACAATTTCATTTAGAAATTATAAATATTTTTGTAACTTAATGTTTTTATAAATTACATTTTTGAATTAAAAGTAGAATCAAAATAGAGAAAAAGTAAATAATGAATATTTTATTTATAAATAAGGGAGGAATTGCATTACAATAGAATAAGTACATTCCAACTAAGTTGACACCTACCCACCTATAAATTATTTGCCCAACTTTGTTCTTTAAATCGTTTATGTTTAATACATGCAAAAGAAAAGAATACATTATTTATAATATTTAAATTTTTAAAACTTTGAATTTCAACATTGGAGACTTATTTCAATATTTTGACGGGGTTAGGCGGGTAGGTGAGATATTAGGTCGGGTTTTTAACAAACTTTTTATCGGTGGGTTATTGGGTTGATTTTTGGGCTAGGTAATAGATTTGGAATAAGCACAAGCCTCCCTTAAAAAATATTACATTCGAACTCTAACAGTCTAATTATCGGACGTTCGAATTTTAGCCTTCTTTTTTTTTGGGCCGAATAACCAGACAAGGAGACAATCAGACCGTGGACACGCCTAGGTGTGGATGAAGGTTTTCCAGCATGACCGACCCGAACCTTTTAATTCTATCCGTAAGTCCTTGAACCTTCCGTGAGCAATTGAGCTCTAGCTCAAAATCCCTCTCTCTCCCCCTCAACGTGGTAGGCTTAGGGTTTCTGAAATGCCTCGAATATATGCGTGCGTATACATACCCATGGCGAACCGTACGGACTCGGCGGCGGAGAGCATAAGGGGGACGAACCCACAGAACCTGGTGGAGAATATTCTGAAGTCCGAGATACACAAACACACATACTGGAAGGAGCAGTGCTTCGGTCTCACTGCCGAGACGCTGTCGACAAAGCCATGGGGCTGGACCACCTGGGTGGGACCTTCGGCGGGAATCGGAAGCCCACGCCGTTCATGTGCCAGGTCATGAAGATGCTCCAGATCCAGCCCGAGAAGGACATCGTTGTCGAGTTCATCAAGAACGAAGACTACAAGTCAGTCTGTGTTAACTGTCGATTCTTTCAAGAAATATTTGTTTTCTCTTCTATTTACAGGTGTTTGTGCACATGTTTAGTTGATTATAATAATTTTTCTCGTTTATTACATGTCAACCGCTAGCAAATATTATTTTGTATGTATAGGAGGACAAGGTGGGTTTGTGTGTATGACGGTCAGAGAAATTAGCAATTTAATCTGGCCGAAACTGTTGTTTTCTTGAAGAATAGATTAGAGATATGTGCATTTGTTTTGTAAGTTATCTTTCTCTTTCTACCGAATTTGGGTTTTGAAATAGTAACCCTCCCTAAAAAGAAGGAAAAAATAAAAAAGCCAAAAAATGAAGTTGTCCTTGGATTGTCCTGGGTAATTCATTTATGTGCAATGTATCATTTTCTTTGGTAAGTGACTCTGTTTTTAAATTTCTGAAATAATTTATTCTTTATGCTACGTTTGGTACGATGGAAAAATGGAAGGACGAAAAGTTGGACGGATAAATAATATATCATGTTTGGTAAGAAAAGAAAATAGGAAGGATGAAAAANTAAGTGACTCTGTTTTTAAATTTCTGAAATAATTTATTCTTTATGCTACGTTTGGTATGATGGAAAAATGGAAGGACGAAAAGTTGGACGGATAAATAATATATCATGTTTGGTAAGAAAAGAAAATAGAAAGGATGAAAACGTGGATGGATTGACTTTCTTTCAAACTCGCCAAAATCAATTACTCCCAAATCAGAAGGAAAGTGGATAAAAAGTTAATTATTTATGTTGAGATGTATCTTATTTGTCTATATATCTTTTATTATATACATATATTATGTATACATTAATTTTATATAAAAATATAATGATAACATATGTACTTATATATATATATATTTAATAAAAATAAAAATTTTAAATTAAAAAATATATATTTTTNGGATAAAAAGTTAATTATTTATGTTGAGATGTATCTTATTTGTCTATATATCTTTTACTATATACATATATTATGTATACATTAATTTTATATAAAAATATAATGATAACATATGTACTTATATATATATATATATATATTTAATAAAAATAAAAATTTTAAATTAAAAAATATATATTTTGTTCATCTTAATTAAGGATGAAAGTTTTCGACTTAACACGATGACACGACTTGAACTAGACACGAATTTTATGACATGAACTTGATTATAACTCGACGCGAACTTGAAAGTGACTTAACACGCGATCAAAAAATATAAAAGGCTTNTTGAACTAGACACGAATTTTATGACATGAACTTGATTATAACTCGACGCGAACTTGATTATAACTCGACGCGAACTTGAAAGTGACTTAACACGCGATCAAAAAATATAAAAGGCTCATAATTTTATGATTCAACACGAATCTAACACGACACGATTCAATTGTTACCCTTAATTTTAGTCAGTACAAAAAAAAATTATTCATTTTTATTTTTCATCCATCCAACCAAACATAAAGAAAGGAAAGTGTATCATTTATACTTTCCATCTTTGAAGGATAGAAAGTGTATCCCTTCTGCTTTCAATATTTCCTACTTTTCATCATTCCTACCAAACGGAGCATTAGACTAATGCAGTGCTTAATCTAACTTGTACAGATTGGTTAATGTTTCCTTCTTTTAATATGAATTAGGTTTGTGAAGCCAGATATTCACATTCTAGTTTTTTTTTTTCGTTAATTGTTTCCCTGACTTAATATATTTTTTGCATATTGATTAATGTTCCTTCTTAATATGAAATAGGTTTGTGAAGCCGAATATTCACATTTGTAGAATGTGTTTTTTTTTCTTCATTGTTTTCCTGCCTATTGATTTAAGGCTTTGTCTATGATATATTTGTAGCCAACAGTTTGAATTTATCTCATCTCATTTGAGTGGTTGCACGAGTCCAATATTGAATCAAATAAGCTAGAGTCAGCTGAAGTAGAGACTTATGATGTTTAAGTTTTGATTTGCTACATGGAGAAGAAAGATAACTGATGTAACTTGGATCAAATTTTTATTTTCACACCCGTTAGCCTAGGTTATGCTTCTAACTTTGCAGGATGGGTACAAAAATACAATAACTTGGCTTGAATTATGGTTTTTATTTTTTCTGTCTTGATGGATAACAAAAGGAAAAGATTTTTAGAGAGGAGAAGACGATATGGAGCTACGGGATAGGTACAGAAACTCTGAAAAAGAAGAAAATAGCGGGAAAAACTCTTAAGGATCTATGAGAGACACCCTAAAGGAGAAGAAATGGTAGAAACAATTGGGCAGAAGAGATGAAAGATAGACTGTGATAATAGATAAAATATTGACTAGAGAATAGGGAACCAAAGGTAAGAAGATTCGGAACAAGATGAAGAGGAATAAGGATGGAGAGAGAGAGAGAGAGAATCTACATACATCTTATGAATTTTTTTTCTTGAAGGCTGCTTGTCATGTGATAGGTTTGAGGCTCTTTTATAGCATCTACAAAACCCTAAAAATCTATCAAAATTATAATGAGACCTTCAATCCAACTCTTGGACACAATCAAATCTCCTATACTATTGAAAATACAGGGAACTTATTTTTAAAAACTACTGTAAAAATTCCATAGATATGTATGCTGCCTTTTTTTTTTCCCTTTACGAAACTGTGTCACATCAACAACAATAATAGAGAAAAGAAAGTTGCAAATGGAATCATATTCTTGCGGCATACCCATGTTTAAAGTTCAGAAAATTGCTGTCATGATTTATGAGCTTGCAGATAAACATTTGTACCGAATTTTATTAGGTTGTCTATTGCCAGCCTTTGATTCATAGATATACTATAATTTTGGACGTGCAAGTTTTCTGAAGTTCCTCCCCAGTAAAGAACATAAAACTCGGTATCCAAAGTCTTATTGTGTTTTTTATGATGGCAAATTTTTTAACGCGATTTTACATCCTTATTTTGATAATTCCGTTTTGCTGGTGGTTATTCATGTTTGGTGGTGATATTTTGCACTGGTGGAACTGGCTTAATGCTATCTTTGCTTTCATTTCTCAAATTAATCTTAACATTTGTATTTTCTGAGTAGATATGTTCGTATGCTTGGTGCTTTTTATTTGCATCTTACAGGGATAGATAGTGATGTGTACCGTTACTTGGAGTCTGTATACAATGACTATCGAAAATTAAGGTGGAAATCAGCTGATGGCTCTAAGATTTTTGACCTTTTGGAATTATATTTTTTGAAACCTGTTCCAGTTTTGAACCAACTCTTTTACCTGTTGATCGTTATTACAATTTTGCTTTTTATTGTTTCAGACTTCACTTTGACACGTGGATGAAGTTATCAGCGAACTTTTGACAAAAGATTATTCCTTTGTAAGCCTCTTGCTTTTTGTAATTTAGATTGCTAGAATTTTCCTTGTATGATTTGTGTATAATTTTCTCTCTTGAATCTGTATCATCTCTTACATTTATATACACTATTGCTTTTGTTTCAGTAAAAATCTCNTAGATTAACTTAAACGCATAACAATTAATTCCCTCCTCTTGTCCAGTTAAAGACATATCATCTATGTTGAGAGTAGGATATTCATGATGGATAAATCCCTTGTGTCCTAATCCCAATAGATTGCCAAAATTCAAACTCATGTCGTTTAACGTTACAACTCATCCTTACTACCATTTGAATTATTCCTTAAAATTCTAGGTTTCAATCTTATATGTTAAACATCAGTTGGTTTGTCAGTGAATTACAAGAGAGGAAAACGACAGAATTCGAAATTGTGACTTTAAAATTCAACAAGAAGACGATAATCGTTACACTAACTGCATAGCTNTTTTGTGCTGCTCCAAATTCAGCAAGCTGTACATTAGTAGCACTTTGGCTAGGCTTGCAAAAGGGGTATTGAAGTTTTCTTTTTTCTAATTTTTTTTTTTTGGTGGCCAATTCTGTTATTTGCGAACTCGAGGCTCTCTTTTGATAATTGATGATTCTGTTTCAAAGCTCATTATGCTCCATCAGGCCTCCCAAATTGTTATTGCCATGTTTCTTCCCTCAGCATGCATTGTGCGTGCATGGTATTCTGGTGTAGCATGAGTGTGTGATGTTTATGATGAATTTAGCAGAAGATTTTGAGAGAAAAATCTGTTGAGATGACTAGTGTTTGTTAAGATATTGATAGGTCTATGGTAACTACCGGGAATGTATTCAAATCCAAAGTTGTTTTTAATTGGATATCTGATCCAATCCAATCAAATCGATACATAGTAATAAATATCATGTGTGCTGTTTATAATGCTACGTGGATTGTGGGTCGTTGTGGTACGTAGTACATGTACGGGTATGTGGTATGTTACTTTCTTTAGGACATCAATGGTAAACTTAACTGGTATGGTATTGCGGGTCATGATTTGTTTTCGAACTCTTATTTAGATCGTCTCACTACTATAAACATTATATATTATAAAACATCTATAAAAATCAAGTCAGTTACCATTTATCTTACATTTTTTGTTCGATTTTTTAGTAATATAATTATAAATATATGTACACAATTAATTAATATGTATTTTATATTTGTACTACATGATCCGAAGTGAATGGATCTATGGTTAGTTTTAGAATATGGGGTCGTATATTTTGGTGATCTAGATCGCGAACGTTCACTATTTGAGATTGATGTACCCAGATCGCGGGTTGTTAAGAGTTTAGTGAATTCTGGTAACTATAACTTCATCCNCCGAAGTGAATGGATCTATGGTTAGTTTTAGAATATGGGGTCGTATATTTTGGTGATTTAGATCGCGAACGTCAACTATTTGAGATTGATGTACCCAGATCGCGGGTTGTTAAGAGTTTAGTGAATTCTGGTAACTATAACTTCATCTTATACTATATCCATTGCACGTATTGATATATGTTGTATTAATTATCACATATTTTTTAAAAATAAATTGGGATCAGCTCCTCATCGTATTGGAACAACCTATCCATATCTAGCGTGCTAAATAAGAGTATTTGGATCCTAATTAGCTAATCGGATCTGGAACTCCTATCCTGATCCTTTTTGGATCTGGACTTGGCCCAAGTTTTGATATTGAACCCAAATACACTTGCGTATGAAGGAGCCCCCCAGTTCTTGTAAAAGTGGATTGACTTGGTTTGAATTTTTCTGACTCATTCATAATTGTTCTACTAATTGTTTGGTGGATTCTCTCTCATTTTCCTTTTCAGTTGGTAAGTATGTCTTCCGTGATTTCTTTTCATATTGTGATTTTTTCCATTGCTTTTTAAATTTCAGTGTAGTTTCTTATGCTTACATATTACATACTTCTAGATGGACTCTTGAAGCCATTGGTTCACTGGAACCAAGATTAAGTGCACTAGAAGACGATTTTGAGGAGGAAAAAGGAGAGGATGACCAAATAGATGGATTAGAAGATGGGGGTCATGAAAAGGTTCATTTCTTCTGCTACTAGTTCTATGGATAGCCAGTTTTATCTATTTTGAGCTGCTTTCTAATTTGTTTGTGGTAATGTTTTTGCCTATGAAGGATTATTATCGTGAGTGAATGAAATTACTAAAGGCTACACTCCCTTTCTACATGTCCACACAATGAGGTCAAACAATCACAATGGCAATAAGTCAATGCAACTCAAGTAATATGCCTTAACCTGAAGAAAGGCCTCTACAGTGGCTAAATATATTTCTCCAGTCGCACCTTAGAGTAGGATTAAGCAAAAATAGCATCAATCAAAAAAGGTCCTAAAAATCACAAGAAATCACTCCCCAAAAAAAGAAAAATACTCCAGTAGTAGCTGAATATTCCAAGTAGGTACAACAAGGGTCCAGTATCTTCTGTTACCCAAATTGAAGACAAAAATCTCACTAGACAGATCAAATAGCTACTGCTGACAATAAAAAATGTCCAAAAAAGCTCAAATCAATCCAACTGCAGCAAACCGAAGCCAAGAATGTAGAACAAGGGTCAAGTATTCTCTATGGCCCAAATTGAAACCAGAAAACTCACTGGACCAGCCAAAAAGCTATTGCCGAATGCTCAAAAATTGCTCAAAACCAATCCAAATTAAACATAGGTGACTGGGCATTACTCACAAGCCCTAGTCGCTCCCATTCAAACTGATTTGGCTCAGATATAGCCCCCAGAAAACTCAGAAATTGCAAATCTGAGAAAAAAACGAAAATCCCCCCTAAAATGTTTCAAAAATTCAAAAGACCATTCAGATCACTTCAAAAAATTTCAGGAAAATTACTATAATATTCAGCAATAAGAGGTGGAGCTATCCTGTGAATTTCGAAAAATTCTGACATGGTCAATTGTTGACAGAATGTCAGATTCTGATGTCAGCATGTCAGAATCTGACAATGTCCACTGTTGGTGGCGAGATGTGATTGCTGATGAATTCCGACCACTTTGAAACGTTAGATTTGATGGATGCTCTGATACAAGTTAGATTGTGAAGATTTTGGATAAGAGAACAAAAAGAGAAAAATATGAGAAGAGACTAGTGTGTTAGATTACATAGTTACACCCAACTTTTATGCATAATCACAAAGTACAAAAATACTTCTTAAAATAACACATAACATGACAAAATGTCCTATTTTCTATGTCATATCCCACCAAATGATCACTTTGATTTCTTAAAGAACTAGAAGGCTTTGACGCAACCGTTGACTGGCTTTCGCTGAAAATACTATTGGGCGGAAGTCATTTTTCGATCTGATCCAGCAGTGCCAGATGTGTCTAGCCTGGATGCCTCCTTTTTGGTAGAGTTGGATACTGATTTTGGTTGGAAGGCATTGTATATACGCTTTATTTATGTATTATCTGTTGTTAGAGATTGAATACAACTTCTTAGTGCAGACCACAAACAATGGGATTTGAATCTGCACGTATCTTACATCTTGATGAATTAAGGCCGCTTTGATGTCATGTCCAGATGTTACCTTAAAAAAAAGATCTTGATCATTTTTATTAATTATGAGCTTCTAATTAACACTTGTGTGTCTACAATGTGTCATCATTGGCAAGGAATTATGAAATCTATTTGCATAAATTAGTATCATCTCAATGGAAGCTGTTGTCTGAACGCACACACCACACACCACACACCACACCACAGTCACATATAAATCAACACAGGCACACACATTCACATTATGAAGGGGTATGCTACTGCAGTTGCATTTTAGGGATGAGTGGCCTAAAACAGCTTTCTAGATCCATATGTTATGATCCTGGCAGGTTTCTTGTTCAGGGAGAAGTATGATGGATCACACAATCCTGTTGCTGTGTAATGGCGGAAGGACCTAGTAGATCAATATGTTATGATCCTGCCAGGTTCCTCTACACTGACTGTGTGAAGCAAGAAGTATGATGGATCACGCAATCCTGTTGCCGTGTAGTGGTGGAAGGATGTGTTCTGGTTTGAAAGCAATTGAAAATGGAACAGTGTGATTATAAGCTATAACTGTGTGTAAATATGTTTTTGTAGTAGCGTGGGGATTATGAGATTACTTTGCATAAGTGTAGTGTTTACTAAAAAGGATTTAGACCCCTACACATATGGGTGCCTTTAGACAGGTCAAATAGTTGCCCCAGTTATAGCATAGAACGGCTCGAAAAATCACTGGCAGTAATGTTTTATGATGCTGTAAGGTTTGTCTGCACTAGCATTCTGCACCTACAAGTGTGTTAGATCACTATATTATTTGCTTAGCCATCCTTCACAGACATGGATTTCCTTTTTAGAATCAATTTGGAATTCAATTTCGCATTTTACACAACTAGTTGTTGCACGTGAATTATTTTGCGGTAGTGGAAACAACGTTTGAGATTATTATAAATGCAATTATCCATGGGGAGTTATTTTAAGTAACTCCCTCGAATGGATGAATAACTCTCCCTATACTGAAGTCTATCAAGAATGATCATTTTTATTTTTGGTCTATCATACATAACGATATCGACTCGACAATATGTTGTGACTTTCAAAGAGGTTGCAAGCCAATCCATATATATATATATATATATATATATATATTGATAAAAGAGTAATGCTATTTAGGGCTAATTTATTAACCCAATTTGTATGTATTCTCTATGTAGCTTTTGATTAGTTTCTTGTTCTCTATAATATAGAAGGGGAGAAAGGACTAAGGAGTTTTTCTAGCTGTTTAATAATTCAATAGAGATTGGAAAAGATGTGTTCCATCAGGATGTATGTACATATTATCTGTTGTTAGAGATTGAATACAACTTATAATTTTTAGTNTTTTAATTTAAATGTTTATGGTTTTACTTGCATTTAAATATTTAGTATATATAAAATTAGAACTTAGATTGTTTAGAAGTAATTAAACTAAAATATATATTTTTTTTAACTGTTCGCTTTGCTTCGGTAAAGCGTGTCGCTTCGCTTCTCGCTTCTCGCCTAGGCGTTAGGAGCCTTGGTCGCTTCGGTTCGCTTTACGCCTTAAATAACACTGGTATATACGCTTTATTTATGTATTATCTGTTGTTAGAGATTGAATACAACTTCTTAGTGCACNCTATTGGGCGGAAGTCATTTTTCGATCTGATCCAGCAGTGCCAGATGTGTCTAGCCTGGATGCCTCCTTTTTGGTAGAGTTGGATACTGATTTTGGTTGGAAGGCATTGTATATACGCTTTATTTATGTATTATCTGTTGTTAGAGATTGAATACAACTTCTTAGTGCACACCACAAACAATGGGATTTGAATCTGCACGTATCTTACATCTTGATGAATTAAGGCCGCTTTGATGTCATGTCCAGATGTTACCTTAAAAAAAAGATCTTGATCATTTTTATTAATTATGAGCTTCTAATTAACACTTGTGTGTCTACAATGTGTCATCATTGGCAAGGAATTATGAAATCTATTTGCATAAATTAGTATCATCTCAATGGAAGCTGTTGTCTGAACGCACACACCACACACCACACACCACACCACAGTCACATATAAATCAACACAGGCACACACATTCACATTATGAAGGGGTATGCTACTGCAGTTGCATTTTAGGGATGAGTGGCCTAAAACAGCTTTCTAGATCCATATGTTATGATCCTGGCAGGTTTCTTGTTCAGGGAGAAGTATGATGGATCACACAATCCTGTTGCTGTGTAATGGCGGAAGGACCTAGTAGATCAATATGTTATGATCCTGCCAGGTTCCTCTGCACTGACTGTGTGAAGCAAGAAGTATGATGGATCACGCAATCCTGTTGCCGTGTAGTGGTGGAAGGATGTGTTCTGGTTTGAAAGCAATTGAAAATGGAACAGTGTGATTATAAGCTATAACTGTGTGTAAATATGTTTTTGTAGTAGCGTGGGGATTATGAGATTACTTTGCATAAGTGTAGTGTTTACTAAAAAGGATTTAGACCCCTACACATATGGGTGCCTTTAGACAGGTCAAATAGTTGCCCCAGTTATAGCATAGAACGGCTCGAAAAATCACTGGCAGTAATGTTTTATGATGCTGTAAGGTTTGTCTGCACTAGCATTCTGCACCTACAAGTGTGTTAGATCACTATATTATTTGCTTAGCCATCCTTCACAGACATGGATTTCCTTTTTAGAATCAATTTGGAATTCAATTTCGCATTTTACACAACTAGTTGTTGCACGTGAATTATTTTGCGGTAGTGGAAACAACGTTTGAGATTATTATAAATGCAATTATCCATGGGGAGTTATTTTAAGTAACTCCCTCGAATGGATGAATAACTCTCCCTATACTGAAGTCTATCAAGAATGATCATTTTTATTTTTGGTCTATCATACATAACGATATCGACTCGATANCTATCAAGAATGATCATTTTTATTTTTGGTCTATCATACATAACGATATCGACTCGACAATATGTTGTGACTTTCAAAGAGGTTGCAAGCCAATCCATATATATATATATATATATATATATATTGATAAAAGAGTAATGCTATTTAGGGCTAATTTATTAACCCAATTTGTATGTATTCTCTATGTAGCTTTTGATTAGTTTCTTGTTCTCTATAATATAGAAGGGGAGAAAGGACCAAGGAGTTTTTCTAGCTGTTTAATAATTCAATAGAGATTGGAAAAGATGTGTTCCATCAGGATGTATGTACATATTATCTGTTGTTAGAGATTGAATACAACTTATAATTTTTAGTAATTATGAGCTTATAATTAACTTCGTGCGTCTACAGTTTGTCATCATTGGCAAGGAATTATGAAATCTATTTGCATAAATTAGTATCATCCCAGTGGAAGCTGTTGTTTGAACACACATACCACACCCTCACATAAAAACTAACACAGGCACACACATTCACATTATGAAAGGGTATGCTACTGCAGTTGCATTTTATGGATGAGTGGCCTAAAACAGCTTCCTAGATCAATATGTTATGATCCTGCCAGGTTTCTCTGCACTGACAGTGTGCAGCGAGAAGTATGATGGATCACACAATCCTGTTGTCATGTAACGGTGGTAGGACTTGGTCTATATCTATCTATACTACTATAAAATGTCAATAAAAGTGAAAATTTTTTATTTAATCATAATATCTATATTACTATAAAATGTCAACAAAAGTGAAATTTTTTTATTTAACCATAATATCTATACTACTATCTATATAATAAAGTAGTTTACAATTTAAATTACAAAAGATAAACAAATATTCGCAGTTGAGATCGTTTTAAATTTTATTTTAAAATTAATCTAACGGTTAATATTAAATCTCTAAATTTAATAGGAAAAAATAAGTTCATAAAGGTGTGTGTGGAGTAATTTTTTAAAAGTGTTTTTAGGAATTATTTTTCATAAATACTTAAAAAAAATATTATTTTGAACCGCTCCACCACTACCTCTACTACCGTCGCTGCCGCCGCCGCCGCCACCACCGCCGTCGCCGTCACTACCACCACCACCACCACCGTCACCACAACTATTACTGTCTCCTACCACCACCATTACCGCCTTCTATCTCTCAATCTCTCACTCCCACTATAAATTGATGTTTAAATTTTTTTATCTCTTCTCTATGTTTGCGATTTATTTTTAGATATGAATACAAATATATTTATTATTTATCATTTTTTATTACTCTGTGCTTTCAGACACAAGTAATAACTAGTAATATAATAAAGTAGCTTACAATTTAAATTTTAAAAGATAAACAAAATAACTTTTGTTTCTTGCGGTTCAGATCGTTTTAAATTTTACTGTAAAATTAATCTAACGGTTAATATTAACACCCTAAATTTAATAAGAAAAATAAGCCCCTAAGGATGTGTTTAAGATAACTTTTTAAAAGTACTTTTAAAAATTATTTCTCATAAATACTTTAAAAAAAATTGTGTTTGAAATCGTCCCACCACCACCACTACTGTCACCCCTGTGATCCACACCAACGCCGCCCTACCATCACTGTCGTCACCACCATAGCTGTGGTCGCCTCCGTTACAATCGATGTTTAAATTCATTTATCTCTCCTCTATGTTTATGATTTAATTATAGATATAAATATAAATTTGTTTATTGTTTACTATTTTTTATAATTCTATGCCTTCAAGCACAGGAAATAACTAGTACTACTATAAAATGTTAACGAAAGTGAAAAATTTTTGTTTGACNGTAGGACTTGGTCTATATCTATCTATACTACTATAAAATGTCAATAAAAGTGAAAAAATTTTGTTTAATCATAATATCTATATTACTATAAAATGTCAACAAAAGTGAAAATTTTTATTTAACCATAATATCTATACTACTATTTATATAATAAAGTAGTTTACAATTTAAATCACAAAAGATAAACAAANGAAAATTTTTATTTAACCATAATATCTATACTACTATTTATATAATAAAGTAGTTTACAATTTAAATCACAAAAGATAAACAAATATTCGCAGTTGAGATCGTTTTAAATTTTACTTTAAAGTTAATCTAATGGTTAATATTAAACCTCTAAATTTAATAGGAAAAAAAAAGTTCATAAAGGTGTGTTTGGAGTAATTTTTTAAAAGTGTTTTTAGGAATTATTTTGCATAAATACTTAAAAAAAATATTATTTTGAACCGCTCCACCACTACCTCTACTACTGCCGCCGCTGTCACCACCACCACCACTGCCGTCGCCGTCACTACCACCACCACCACCACTGTCACCACAACTATTATTGTCTCCTACCACCACCATTATCGTCTACTATCTCTCACTCCCACTATAAACTGATGTTTAAATTTTTTTATCTCTTCTCTATGTTTGCGATTTATTTTTAGATATGAATATAAATATATTTATTATTTATTATTTATTATTTTTTATTACTCTGTGCTTTCAGACACAAGTAATAACTAGTAATATAATAAAGTAGCTTACAATTTAAATTTTAAAAGATAAACAAAATAACTTTTGTTTCTTGCGGTTCAGATCGTTTTAAATTTTACTGTAAAATTAATCTAACGGTTAATATTAACACCCTAAATTTAATAAGAAAAATAAGCCCCTAAGGATGTGTTTAAGATAACTTTTTAAAAGTACTTTTAAAAATTATTTCTTATAAATACTTTAAAAAAAAATTGTGTTTGAAATCGCGCCACCACCCCTACTGTCACCCCCGTGATCCCCACCAACGCCGCCCTACCATCACTCCCGTCACCACCATAGCTGTGGTTGCCCCCGTTACAATCGATGTTTAAATTCATTTATTTCTCCTCTATGTTTGTGATTTAATTATAGATATAAATATAAATTTGTTTATTGTTTACTATTTTTTATTATTCTATGCCTTCAAGCACATGAAATAACTAGTA